TTGATTTAAGGCCTGGCCTGGCCGGCAGCACATCACGTTAATTAGCTGGCTTAAAGAGCTCACATTCACACATCAAAACATTTCTTATACAATTTGTCAAAACAAACTTATACTTTCGAGATATAAGAGCGTAAAGACCAAAGCCGAAAAAAAGAAAATCAAATAGAGAAAGAAAAACTCGTTTAAGAGCAGAGCGTGCGCTAAGTTTTCGCCGACTTCCTCCAGTCTCAGTTGAGGCCGCAGTCGCTTCGTTGACGGCGACCTTGATAGACGTGCCAGCGGCTGCAAGCTGGCCAAGACGAGAAGAAGAAGAGCTGCCACAATCAACACACAAAAAAGCTTTCTTCATTAGTTTCTTGTAAAAATGTTATTGTTTTTGGCGTGCTTGTGTCTGGCACGAAGTGTTTCAAAAATCTAAAAGAAAAAAAAAAAGAGAAAAACCAAACAACAACAAAAACCAAATCAAATCGAAATATGTGTAAAATGTGTGAAGTGCAGTCGAGAAAACAGAAAACAACAACAGCTGCTGCTGGAAAAGTGTGCGTGGAAATTCGTGTGCTCAGCTGAGACCCCAAAACAAGCCAAAACAAAATTAGTCGAAATAAGTCCAAAAGAATTACAAAAGTGGTGCGAAAATCCAAAACTTGAGCCAAGTTCTACCGTTAAGCAGCAATTGTTCAGTTCGCGAGGTGTTAATTTATTCATTGGCCGGAAACTTAACAAGCTGTGAGTACACAATTTCCATTTCCCAAGACAAATTTCAGTTATCTTTCAATTGTGCAAAGATTATATACCAAGATGTAGCTGTACGTTATAGTAAGCTGATCCCGAACTATGTCAAGTATATCTCAGTGGAATAACAACTTAATATCAAAGAGTTCCGGGTTCAAACTTTAAGATTAGTGTGACAAACTGGGATTGTCCTTGACATAGGCCATACGAATCAGTTCAGAAATAATAGAAATATTATCTATTAATCATGTCTCTATCTACCCCTTGAGCCCAATAGAATTCACATTCGTATATATGTTATCGAATTGTGGAATTCAATATTTAAATGTTGGGCATATATAAAAATTGTATTTGCAGATTTAATTAATAAATTCTAGCCATTGTAACTCTGTAATAATAATATTAGTTAAAAAAGTAGTTAAAATTGAAACGTATAATTATATTATATAAAGGTATCTTTTAAAAGGAAATTTTATTTCTCATGAGTTTAATCAAAATATCTTCGAGAATTAAAGCATTTCATGCCACAACTCAAATATCGTTCCTTCGATTCGATATCTTAGTAGCCATATATCATATAATCTTAATAGAGTTATGCTTGATAAATGACCTATCGAGGTTTTATATATGCCACATATAGTTGCACAGCTTTAGCATGCCCTTTTTTTTATGCATATCTTATGGGGTGCGCTTAGAGAAAAGTAAAGAGGTTTTATTACTTTTTTGCCCTTTGGCATGCGCATTTCACTGTGGGCTGCCCTTGCTGTGCATTTGAATGAAATTAAGCTTATCAGACCATTGAGTTTAGGTCACTGGGCAGGCGCTTCGAATAGATCAAGATCTTTTAAGGTGAAAGTAATTTGCCGAAAAAGTGCCAAGGCACCAAAAACCAAACCAAACCAAACCAAGCCAAAGCCAAAGCCAAACCCGACCAGACCAGAGCCAACCAAAACAAAAGCCAACAGAAATGGTCAATTCGCGCTGGCCAGTCGAGTGGAGCTGTAGCTGGAGTTGAGTGCACTGTCGTAATTTAGTTTTAACAACTATTTGAGAAACCGTTGGCCAGCCCTATGTGGCGATCTGTGGAGCTGTGGCTAAAAGCACAAGTCCAAGTACATATTAAAGCACATTAAGGCGGCGAGCAAATGATGCGCTCCTCTGGCCACACAATGGACCAGGCGGCGCCGCAAATATGTTGAATAAATTTCAAATTTGTTATTATGTACGCTCCGGCTAGCCAGGGAGAGGGGGGGGGGGACAATGCTCGACTCTAACTAGCGTGTGTTCTAAGTGTTAAAAGTACGCCGAGTGTGACGTCGACTCCGCTGCACTCGGAAGTGTAGCGACTGCAGCCAGACAATGGCCCATAGCAATTGCAATAACAACAACAACAACAACAACAACAACAACAACAACAGCAACAACAACAACAACAACAACAATATGAACAACAACAACTACTACAACAACAACAATCAGACACAGCAGCAGCTGTACACTCAAAAAAAAAATGTTTTCAAAAAAATAAAAAAACTAGTTTTTTATAGAAAATATGATCCCAGAATATATTTATTTATTTAATTTTTTAATGGTCGATAAAAACAAAATATTTAATATCTAAAATTATGAAAATTAAATGCTGAAAGGCTAATATATAATTTTTAAATGATATTTTGTGGAATGAAAATATAATTGTTCTTAATTTTAATGTATTTTTTTATTAAGTAAAAGCAAGACTACAAAATGAATTCGAATTTATTTCTTACTTAATTCTTATTATTTTATCTATTTTTATTTTTAATATTTTCTGAAATTAAAAAAGAAAGGTTCTTAATTTAAATTTATTTTTCTATTTAGTAAAAATAGTATTAAAAATTTAATTCGAATTAATTTCTTACTTGATTCATATTATTTTATCTATTTTTATTTTTTTTTTAATATTTTCCAAAATGAAATGAAGTGAAAGAAAGTTTCATAATTTCAATTTATTTAAAATTGCACTACATTTAAATTTAAAACAATTCGAATTAATTTCTTACTTGATTCCTTTTATTTTATCTGCTTCAACCAAAAACTATCAATTTTGTTGAATATGTTTTATTTTTATTTACTTAATTTAATTGCGATCTAAACTTAACGCAAGCATTTTGCTGAGTGTAACTGCGCGCCATCTGCGTGCTTCTAGCGCAGGTTACAATGCGTTCTGCGGCAAAACAGATACATATATGCATGGATATATATATATATATGTGCATCTGTATCTATATGTAGAGAAGCATAAATTTATGCGCAAACTTAGAACAATGTGCGCATAGCTATCGCCATATCGTGTTGCCTAATAATTAATGAACGTGCATGCTAGCTGCTGCCTCTGCTGCTGCTGCTGCCTCTGCTGCTGCCTCTGCCGCTGCTGGCATGGTGCATGCAGCAGTCCATGTTATCTGTAAGGCGCGCAAAGTTCAATTACCTGTTAATTGAGTTTAGACGAATGCAAAAAGTCAAGACCCGCAGCAGTCAGCAACAATTCCCAGCAGCAATCGCAGCAGCGTGCAGCATCATCAAAATCACATCATTCAACATATTGCCGCATCTCGATTCAAGTGCTGCGCCAGCTAAAAATAGGAAAGAAATAGAGAGAGAGAGAGAGAGAGAGAGAAAGAAAAGAAAAACCAAATACAAACTGAAAATCAGGTCATTATTGTCATTAAATTGTTTCAAAATGCAAGAGATTGGGCCACAGCAGATCCGACAAATAATACGGACACACACACACACACACACACATAAATCAAAGACATGTATTATAAACATGTAAACATATGAGCATATTTATTGTTAATCTCCAAATGCCAGCTAACTGTACAATTCGGTTCAGTCAATGAATGAATGTGTTGACTGCTCAAAATCAAAAGACTTAGGCAACGAACTTCTTTTTTTTGTGTTGAACAGCTCAATCAAAATCAAAAGACTTAGGCAACGAACTTCTTTTTTTTTTTTTAGTATTTTTCGGCCACAAAATTTTACTTTCAAATTAGGCCGCAAAAACTGTTGCTTTTTATCGCTTTCTTCTCATATTCTGGCCAACATATAATGATTGTTTCCACTTAGCCTTTGTTGTTGTTGTTGTTGTTGTTGTTGTAGTTGCTGTTGTTCTTCTTTTGAATAGCAGCTGGCAGAAACTATTATAAAGCTTAAGTGTAACTAACAGTTAGGAGTCCCCAATAATATTTTTCTGTTCGTTTTGTTTGTGTGAAATATTTATGTAAATTATGGTCAAGCAGCTAAGGTGCAAATGATTAGCGGTATAAACGCTCAAATTCAACAACTACATTGTATATATAGTTATCTGGCTGTGTGTGTGTGTGTGTGTGTGTTTGTATGTAGATTAAGCAGACATAACTGCAGCGCATTTGTTAACGGTACTAACTTGGCCACAACCCGGCCGAGGCCTTGGCATGTAGCATACGCAGCTCGTTCCCAGGCGACGACGCACTTGCTCCACACATTCACATTCACCGCTGCATAATTCTGGCTCGGGTTGCCGTTGGAGCTAGTGTGTTTATAAGTATACATTTGCTGCCAGAACGAGTTTTAATTGCAACATTTGTTTAAATGTTGTCCGTTAGCTGCCGCTGCAACCAGCAACTAGCAACAACAACAGCAACAACAACAAGCACTTGGCGTTTGATGCTGCTCCATTTACAAAAATGGACGCCAACAATTTTTGCCTCATTACCGCCGCTTAAAGAATGTCACCTCCAAAGCTGTGAGTGTGTGTGTTTGTGTGTGTGTGTGTGTGTGGACAGGCGCAGTCAGCGGGGAAATCTGAACGTATTTGTTTTTCTGCTCTTCGCCTTTTCGCGTGTTTTAATTAGTGGCGCGTTTTCACCAACGCCAGCAGCAGCAGCAAATTGTACAACTTATTTATGGCTTAAATGTGCTTGTTGTTTTTTTTAAATATTTTTGCCAGAGCAGCAGCAACAACAACAACAACAGCAACAAATCGGACCCAGTCCATGCAGCGGCGCTCCATGATGCGCTTGCTACCATGTGGCGCACCAATTTTGGCTATTCCTGCTGCCAGCTGCTGCTGCTCTTCTTCTTCTTCCTCTTCCACTGCTGCTGCACAGCCACGCCCACGGCTGCAGCCGCAAGAAGAACAGCTGGCGGCCAGGTCATCGGCGCCACCTACTTGGCAGCGACCCGAGCGGCTGCCTTTGCCGCCACGGACAACAACAACAACAACAACAACGGCGACATTAAGAGAAATCAACTAGAGGATTTAATGCCAGCGAATTTACTGTTAGAGGATCTGCAACAGTCTAACGGACAGCTAATCAATCTGACAAGGCATCACGATGGCGATCTCTTCTATACGAGCGGTGAGTACCCGCATCCAAGTCCCAAATCCAAATCCAGCTCCGGCCTAAGCCGTGTGGCATGTTTACCCGTTGACAGCAGCATTAATTTCCAGTATGGCCAGCTTATTAGACGCCGCTCACGTTCCAGCCGAACCGCATCCCAGCCAGACTTGGCGCGTTCTGTTGTGACGTGCTTAAATCAAGCTGCTATACATCTTCCCCTCCCCCTCCCACCTGCTTTGTTGATTTTACAGTTTCTCTTTCTGTTTACGCAGGTCTCGGCGGCGGCGCTTGCAATGCGGACACCTGCATCGGGCTGTCCAGCGGCACAGCGGCCGTGGTCCGTCTGGGCGGCGACTCCAACGGTAAGTACTCGATTAATATGGAAATTTGTTTGCCAACGCGCACTCAACGCGTCTCTTAATCTCTGTCATTGTGTTTGCTTTTAGCTGGCGATGGACTGGGTCACGCCTCGGCCTCAGCCTCGGCCTCAGCCTCGGGCACGCTGGCCAGCGGTCGGCTGGAGCTGCTCACGCGCCGCATGAAGCTGCAGCAGCAGCAGCGCGACAATGGCCAGGCTCTGGGCATGTCCGCCGAGGCGGAGGGCTGCAGCTGCCGCTGTTTGCCATATTTGCGCGCCTATCGCGAGGATTTGGGCATCTGCGTGGATGACATACATGGTAAGTGGCAGGCGGCTGGAGTCGCGATGATCGCGGAAGCGTTTGCCGCCAGTCGAAATAATTAGTCAGCCAATTCGTTCGCAAATTGTGTGCTCCATTTCCACATGGCAGCGGCAGCGGCTCAGCTGGGAAATTTCCCTACAATTTTCCCACATGTGAGAGGCCATTGTCTGTGCGCCATTTGGCCAAAATCACAATGGTTGCTCAACTATTTTTTGTTTTTCATTTTTTTTTTATTGCGAAAAAGAAATGCTGTAATAATAACAAAATTGTGCAGGGCTGGCGCTCAAATTGCAGAATGAAAACGAAACGTGACGCAAATAATGCGACAAAGAGACGAGCGAGACCCCAATGAAAGCTTGTCGAAACCTAAATGCTCTACAATTGACAATAGATTCAAGAAACGGTGTTCTGAATTAGAAGACAAGTCGCATTTAAAAAATGAAAACAAGTACTAAAATTGCAAGCGCACTTTTATTATTATTACTATCATTATTATTATTATTGTTATTATTATTTTATTTATTACTATCATTATTATCATTATTATTATTATTATTATTATTATTATTATTATTATTATTATTATTATTATTATTATTATTATTATTATTATTATTATTATTATTATTATTATTATTATTATTATTATTATTATTATTATTATTATTATTATTATTATTATTATTATTATTATTATTATTATTATTATTATTATTATTATTATTATTATTATTATTATTATTATTATTATTATTATTATTATTATTATTATTATCATTATCATTATCATTATCATTATCATTATTATTATTATTATTATTATTATTATTATTATTATTATTATTAGCATCGGCACACTAAACAGGAAGTAAAGTGATCAAAGACAACATTTTTAACAAATTATTAATACTATTATTATTATTATTATGATTCTTATTGATATTGTCATTATTATGATTCCTATTCTAATTATTATGACTATAATTATGAGTAGTTACAAACTATTTGCCTTTAGCTAAGGTAATACTACATTCGTCAACTAGCTGGGGATTTGAACCAGCAACCTCTATTTAAAAATAATATATTCAATTCAAGTCAACATAAATTCATTTAGTTCCTCTTTATAAAAGAAAATAATTACTTCACTTCCTTAAAGCTTAATAAATAAGTGCTGCATTATATTGACATATGAAGAAGCATACCAAGTTCAAACCCAAATAATTCCAAAAGTAATCAAAACTGATGACTTAGTGAGTGTGTCTTAAAAAGTGTGAAGACGATATTGATAGTTAAAAGAGCATAAGCTTAGCTCTGGCTCTTTACTTGCGTAACCAGTTCACCTTATTTACACAGTTGCACTTCCTGTGTGCCAAAGCTCATCAAAACTCAAAGTTAGGGTATATAATAAAAACATAACAAACAGTAGCTAGTATGTCAAAAATTTACCATTATTGAACAAATCATTCGAGTTGCCAGCACTTTTATGAATGGAAAAAAATGCTTTAAGCCAACTTTCGCTGCCAGCTACAAATACAATAATAATAATAGAAACAACAACAACAATTAAAATCCAACCGACACAATTAAAGACGGAAAGTAAGAGCATTTTCGAAAACAAAAACACTTTTGCACTACTAAACACAAAGGGGAGTCGACAATTTTGATAAGGGTCTCGCCTGATCGATAGTTATCGATGTTATCACAGCTGCTATTAAAAAAAAACAGTATGGATATTATTTCTAGCTTTTGACCATTACAATGCGAGAGACTTTCTCATTTTTTTTTTTGGCTTTTGCAGAATGCTCTCTCTCACCATTTGTCAGCGGCTCATCGTCGGAGAAAATTCCATTTGTGTTTTTGCCACTGCGCGGCCAAATCATTTACCCCAGCAGAGAAATCAGTTTTCCCAGTAAGTAACCCCACTCTCCTCCCTCCCCACCCCTTTTTCCACTCATTAGCATATATATTTGTATGTGCTTACCTGTAGATATACTCACGCCTGTGTGTGCGGTTACCGGCGCCCAGTACTTGGGCTCGAATGGCTGGTCGGATCTGCGTAACCCCATTGACACGGACTATCCATTTCGGATGTTTCGCGACGAGGGTCGCAGCTTTCTGCAGTGGCTGGGCGAGACGGAGCTGCGCCAGAAGATGCAGGGTCGCCTCATTGTGGTGCATCTCGTTTGCCGCGACATGACTGTGGCCCTCAATGCCAGCCAGAAAGGTGAGTCTCAAAATAAGATTAAGACTGATCGACTAGTTTATACCCTGAACACAGCGACGTGCTGTCAAAGCAAGCATCTATGAGATAAGCTTAAAAAAGTATAATAAGATACTATAGACAGACGGACGGACGAACAGATCAGGATTCAGGACAGAAATACCCTACCCTAATCAAGAGAGGCTTACCACATGGAACTCTATCTCGATAAATCGATTTTTGGTCGATAAGATTTCGCTATCTATTTATCGATTGAAAGAAACTTGATATGCGCCAGTAAGACAACCGGACAGACGGACAGATCAGGATTCAGGATAGAAAGACACTTATCAAAAGAGGCTGACCATCTAGAACTCTATCTCTATAAGATTTCGCCATCGATTTGTATCGATTCAACGAAATTATCGAACGAATGCTTGGAAATTAGGCGATTTATCGATAATTTAAAAGAATCTTGAAATGCGCCCGTAATACATACGGATGGACGGACCTACAGGTCTTTTTACCCATTTCGATAGGCTCAGGATAGAAATACCCTAATCCAAAGAGGCTTACCACATGGAACTCTATCTTTCAGATCATCTGATGCCGCCCAAGAATGTGCATTCGCCGTGCGTGGCCTTCCGGGTGAATGGCAGTCCGGTCAAGTACACACACAGTAAGTAGATGCTGCAGCTGCTCCAAATTGTGCCCAGTTTTGAGTCCAATTCTAAATCCGCCCTTAGATGTGCCGGAGGTGTTCTTTCAGCCGGCGAACTCGACGACTCTGGCCTCCACCTCGGATGGGATGAGCATGCGCGAGTATGTGGTCATCGGCATCTGCAGCCTGCTGCTGGGCCTCATCTATGTGGCCTCCGTGTTTCTGTATCTGTACATGAAGAAGCGCAAGAGTCGGGGGCGCCACAGCTCGCGTCACTCGCTGGACAATCTGGCCAATGAGATCAACTATCCGAAGAACGACCAGGTCACATATGGCGCGCCCTTTAGCCGGGTGGGCAGCATCTACTCGGCGAACAGCATGGGTCTGGGCCATGGCGGCAGCGGCAACGAGGCGGGCACGCGGGCCAGCATGGCCAGCCTCAAGGATGACCTGGGCATTGTGAAAAACAATCCGCTGCTGCAGCACTTTCCGCAGCTGGGCGAGCGGGAGCACAACTCTGGCTTTGCCAGCGACATCTCCAACTCGAACTCCGAGTGCGAGATGGAGGAGAAGATAAAGGTGAGTCCTTTTCACTATGCCCATGAGCTTTGCTAGACAGCCCGACTTGATTCTACTGCAGAGCTCGGTTTCGGTTCTGGTGCATCCACAGCTGAACATGGCCAACAACAACAACAACAACAACAACAAGTCCCCGAAGTCGGGTCACGGCCACAGCGCGGATAATTCCTCACTGGAGTCGGATGATTTTCGGCAGGACAACGAGTGCCTGCCCACGGAGAATGTGGCCGTCATCGAGGATCTGATGAGCGAGGAGAAACTGGAGAATCTGCGTGCCATGGTCAATGGCAATGTGCGCAAGAAGCTCTACTTTAATCCAGCCTACTTCGAGCCACATCTGCTGGCGGTATGTCGAAATTCCGCTAAAATCCATGTCCATCCAAATGACGCCCAGTCTCTCTCTCTCTCTCTCTCTCTCTCTCATATCTTTGCAGGAGCCGCCGCAAGCTGCCATTGAGTTTTTGCAAAAGATTCGCGAGGTGATCGCCATTGCCAAGTACAAAATGGCCGCCAAGCGTTACCAGCCATCGCTCAACATCATTCACGAGGAGGCCAGCCTGGACTCTGGCGGGGCCAGCTCGGCCAGATACAATGTGCCGCTGCAGCAGAATCTGCAGGCGAAGAGTCTGGGCGACAAGCGCAACAGCATCGAGCAGTGGCTGCAGAGTGTGCCCAATTCGGAGCCAGCCGAGCCGAAGAAGAAGAGCAACGGTTCACCCAGCAAAGGCTCCACGCGCAAAGAGATCACCGCGCCCAAGGAACGCCCGCCGCCGCCGCCGTCTCCAATGCAAAAGTCAAACACTGAGCAGCAGTCCAAGCCGGAGGCACAGCCCAGCGCCAGCGCCAGCTCCAGCTCCAGCAAATCCAGTCCGGAGCCCGTCAAGCCCAAGACGCCAAACTATGAGAGCTATACGGCCTATTCGGCGGCCGTGTCCGCCAATGTGTATGGCTTTGCGGAGACGGGGGGCGAGATCTACAACAATCCAAAGTTCATGCTGGCCGACTCGCCGGCCGGCTCGATGCGCAGCACCTCGAGCCGATCCAAGTCGTTGCGGAAACGCGGCGATGCACTCGATCAGTTCGCGGCGGCGAACAACTCGACGCCGACCTCGCTGAACTCGTTCGATCGACAGCATTACAATATGCTGCGGAACATGAAGCCCGCAGAGATCATTTACGATTCGCTGAAGCGCGAATATGCAGCGCATATACCGACGCCGGACTACGACAGCACCATCGAGAAGAAGATCAAGGAGATCTACAGCAGCACCCAGAGCAGCATACCCTCCGTACCGACGCCGGACTACAGCTCGCTGAGTCGCAAGTCCCTCAAACAGTTTCAGCCGGATTCGCCCATCTACAGGCGCAAATCGCCGCAGTACCTGATCGTCGACTACGAGACGGACAGCCTGGAGCGCTTGGAGCCGAGCGCCAAGCGCAAGAGTTCGCATTCCTCCAGCTCGCCCTCGTCCGATGTCAGCTCACAGCTGAGCCCCAGCTTGAGCACAGCTTTGCCGCTGGAGGAGGAGCTGGAGATCAGTCACACGGTGTACGATCGGGTCAATGGATTTCGCAAGGAGGGCGACCTCAAGAAGCGCCTGCTCGCTGGCAAGCATGACAGAGCAGGGCAGAGCCAGGCGCAGCGGCACAAGGAGGCCGCGGCACGCATCAAATACGACACGCCCTTTCGCGGCAGCATGACCATCGAGGTGGAGCACGAGCCGCCCTCCGACATGGAGCGCACAGACAGCGATCAGTTCGAGCCGGACACCCTCGATCGCAAGCCGAAGAAGCAGAGCTTCTGCGACATCAATGCCTGGGACAAGCATGGACGTCAGAGCAGCACCGAGGATTACAATCAGATCAACTCGCTGCCCGATCTCAGCCGCCAGCTCGGCACGCCGGACAGCAGCCAGCTGGCCAACGGCAAGCCGCGCACCGCCTCCTTTATTCTGCGCTCCAGCAACTCGTTTCGCAATCTGCGCGAGATTTACGAATCGCCGCTGGCCGTCCAGGAGCACGGCAGCAGTGAGGCCCAGCAGCGCGAGGAGCAGGGCCGCATTCTGACGCTGGAGGCAAAGCATTCGCGCCGGCAGCGCGGCCTCCAAGGCTCGCCCACGCTCTCTGTGGTGGATGTGGCCAGAGACAGAACTACCATAACTATATCCTCGCCCAAGCCTGCCGACAAACGCCAGCCGACGTCGCCGCCACGCCCCAAGCTGAATCAACATTATTGCGCCCCGCTGGTGCATAAGAAGCGTCCGCTGCCGCCGGCGCCGCCGGCGACGCCGCCAGCTGGGCCGAGCTGCTGCCACGGCGAGCGGCAGGAGGAGGATGCGTACAGCATGCACAGCGAGATAACCGAGCTGACCGGCGTCTCGGATACCCTGGCCAACTCGGAGTTCGACAACTCGTGCAACAACACGATGTCCAGCGTCATATCGGCCATGACGGAGCCCAAGCCGGAGCAGAAGGCGCAGCTGGACGTGGACTACGATGGCATCTACGGCAAGAAGATGAATAGCTTGCGCAATGATTATAGCCTCAACAAGTATCTCAATCGGCGCAAGTCCCAGAAGGATAAGCGAGACGAGAATGAGCACGAGCTCAAGGATCCAGCGGAGCTGGAGTCGAGCAACAACAACAACAATGCGAAGACTCTCAAGGATGTGGATGTGAATCAGTTTGATGCGCTGTCGATTAGCTCACGGTCGAACCGCAGCAGCAGCCATCTCTCGGAGCGCACCAAGGAGCTCTATCGGAATGCGGGCGTTCCCGTCGGCATCGCCTATCCACAACGCGCCACCAACAGCAGCAGCAGCAACAATCCCAGCTCCAATGCGAATGTGAGCGTCAATGTCCAGACCGTTTATCGCTGTGAGATCGAGCCGGCGCAGCTGACGGCGGGCATGCAGATAGCCATCGGGCTAAAGGATCGCGCCAAGAAGGCGAAGGATCTGAAGAATGCGTGGCGCAAATTTGTTCACATGGCAGCCAACAAGTTCAGCCCCAGTCAGAGTCCGGCGCCCACCTACGGCACCAAGAGCTCGACGGGTGGCTTTCTGGAGGCGCTCGGCGGCGACGATGGCATCGCCTCCATCATTGAGGAGGCGGCGGCGTTTGCGGTTGCGGCACAGCCGGGCTCGGCGGCGGGACAGGTCGGCCAGAGCCAGAGCCAGAACTATTACGAGCAGCGCTTTGGACAGCTGGACAGCGGCTACATGAGCACCGACTCCACGGAGCTGTACAAGCGCAACGTCTACGATCGCTACAACTTCAAAATGTTGAGCGGACGCGGCGGCGGCGGCCAGATTATACGAGTCGACACCATCGAGGACAACGAAGAAGAGAGCACCAGTCCAGGCCGCTTTGAGGATCTCGAGCACATGGTCTCGCCCGGCAGCAGAGCAGCGGCGGCGGCGGCGCCCAATGCCAGCGAGGACTTGAGCGATGCCGAGTCGGACAAAACGCTGACGCGCTCCAAATCGAATGTGGCACGCGGCGGCAGCAGCAGCACCACGATGTCATCCTATTCCTCTGAGGATGAGCAGCGGCGCGGGCACAGCACCTGCTGCGGCTCATCGGATGAGGAGACCAATGCCGAGGACATGTGCGAATCGGGCGCGGAGAGCATCGAAACGCACTCGGTGCTCTACAAGATGATACGCAAAAGTTAGCTTTGTACTTATTTTAGGGATGTGCAATATCCAAACCAGACGAAAGACTTCCACTTGGCCAAGCCAGCCAACAGGTGCAATAATAACACGATTCTTGCCAAACCATAAGGTGCAATTCTTATACCCAACTCTAAGCAACATTAACAGATATATATATATACATATATACAAGTTGGAGGGAGGAGAAACTGATACTAACAAAGCTGATTCCTCCCCCCTCCCAAACAATCAATACTCTATATTTAACTAGTTTGTAGTTTAAAATCTATATCTAATCTAGACAAAATATATATATATATATATATATATATGTATGTGTCTAGATTACATCTTATCAGCTAGCTATCGGACGCGAATTGTGATAAATATTATCAGTCTTTGGGCCGGAAATGTGCAATCTTTATGTTAGTCTCAAAATAAACAATATAGGTATATATATATATGTATAAGTTTACCTTTAGTTTATTTAATTTTTTAATAAATAATGTATATATTTTCAGAAAAAAAAAACATGCTGAGAAAGATACAGACTGGGAGAGATATTAGATCCCATTCAATTAGCACGAACTAACTTATCAAAACCGTGTAGATAAACTAACAGAAACATTCAGTTGGAAGCCTAAAAGCTGCAGGCGAAATATTATATATAATTATATAACATAATATAATCTATTAGTCGGTCAGACCATAAATTTGATATATTGAAGAGTTTATATTTCCCGAAGCTATCTTTTGGATCGAAAGTTAGCATTAATACGGACCCACAAGTCGGGGAAACAGTGGTCAAAGTTTGTAGTTAATCACAAGACGATTCAAATAGTTTATAAGAGTGGACTAGTCGGGAGTGCCCGACTAGGAGATACCCTGAACCTAGTACTAGTAGGATCTACATTCCAGCTAGCTCTTAGCTAGCTCTTATAGGCTCTGAGATCGACGCGATCATACATGCGGACAGACAGACGGACGGACATGTCAGTATCGACTTGACTGATCAAGAATATATATACTTTCCTTCTGTCTGTTATATACATTTGCACGAAACCATTATAACCTTCTTGCCCATTTCAGTGGGTCCTGGGTATAATGAGGGGTTTACCAGTTCCATTAAATGAGTCATGTCTAATAAATTGATACGACAAAAAAGAGGGCTATCTTCGGCATGCCGAAGATTGAATACCCTTGCAGATCGAACCCTTTCATAATGCTCATAATGCTTTGCTCGTATCTAAGAAGCACGGGAAAAATAGTTCAAGCCGAGTATAGTTAAGTTACAAGAACCTTATTGTCAACCGATCGTTCCTATGGCAGCTATATAATATAGTGATCCAAATGGTTCCGAAATATGCACTGCGTGCAACAGAAAGAGGGACGAAAGCTTTAAAACTGAGAGACTAGTTCGCATAGAAACAGACAGACGGACAGACGGACATGGCTTTATCGATACGGCTCTTGATACTGATCATGAAGATATATACTTTATGGGGTCGGAGATGTCTCCTTATATGTGTAACACATTTCGAGGCAAAATTCTAATACCCTCTGCAAGGGTATAATAACCAACTGACCGAGATTCGGCTTGGTACTGATTGTTCGCCTCTCTAGGCTCTCAGCTGTCTTACTCTCTCTGGACATTACATTAAGAATTCTTGATTCGATGAGTGCTCAACTTGAACAGTTTATATATTGTTCACTTAGTGGTAACACAGACCGTCAGCAAGTGAACACGCAACGCGCAAAATCCGCAATAACATAATCTAAAAACATGACTAATTACGATACAGATAGTATTTTGCTACTGAATCCCTAT